CTACACATTAATACTATTTTACTATTACAGACGTGCTGACTATACAGTTTATTTTATTTTTAAATTTCTAAATGTATCTTTTCGATCTCAACTGAGTATAATTATCAGTACGTACTATCTATTTCTGATGATGATAATATGATATGGTCTATAAGTACAGCTAGTATATTATCGAACAATTTACTCGAATCTTTAAATCGTCTAGATTCACGTATTCACAAAGTAATTATTAATTATAATATTATTTGCTGTTGATTTTATTAAAATCACAATAAATTAAATGTATGAAATAGGAGTGCGCATAATAATATGTCTCGGCCGAGTATGAAACAATCGAAAAGCCAAATAAGAGAACCGTTAACACGCGTGCCGCGGCCTTGGATCCTTGGACATCCGGCGAGCCGACACAATGGGTGCACATGAAAATCTAACATAATGTTATGAACACGTGGAGACGACGACGAWTAACGTTTAATTGTCCAAGTTCCTAATGTTTAATGCTTACGGCTGACTTATGGCATAACGATAATAATAATAATATCGTATTTACGATCTCGACGCGCGTGTTTGTTTACGCGGCAATTAAATCTATCAAAACCGCATGAAACGCACAATAGCGAACAGATGATCTACGGACCGTGATGACGATAACAATGCAGTGGAGAAACAACGCGTATTATTCGAATTTTACCAACAATATTATGCACATCGTCGTATGACTTTTCCCGAGGACGTATGTGTGCCGCGACAGTGATAAGAGTTACCGAGGAGGACTGCAACGTCCGTATCAATGAATTCGGGCCACTGGGGAAGCTGCACATAGCGCGTAAATCGCGTACAACTGTACTGCATTAGTTTAATGAAAATATGATTTTTACAACTATACTTACCTACTATAATTATGTATTCGATTACTAATTTTGTAATTTTATGTAAAAATAAAAACTAATAAGTGTATTTTTATGCTTTATCTATTTTATGGTGGTTTGTCTGTTTAAAAGCTTTTACGAATAAGTATGCGTATATATGGGAAAGTATTTAACATATATTTTAATAGATACTATTTAATATGTATATTTTAGGTATTTAAATATTTATCTGAAAATATTTTAAAACCTTTTCATTGGAGCAATATTTCAAAAAAAATTTTAACAATTACTATTACATATGTGGGGCATGTTTGTACATGCCATATTGATAACTTATGAAGAACCAGGATCCTAATAAGTTACGGGATTAGCAAGGTATCCTAATAAATTTATATTTTTAATTTTTCTCACAATAATATGGCAATAGTACCTAAACATCGAAATGCATTTKGTTGTTGCTGTCTACTAATTAATTATTTTAATTTCTAGCATTAAATTTGTTTAATTTTAAAAGGACGATACCCATATATTTGATGTCTCTGTCTTACAGACGTACCTACTTACGAAATTGAAAATTTGCATTCATTAGAATCGATTTTGCGATGTCAATATAAAAGTGAACTGACTTGTCATCAAACTTAAATTTAAGAATATTATCTGTGCTTAAGTGTCGGATTTTTTTTATATTTAAATTGTTGAGCGTGATATATGTATGTAAAAAATTGCAAATTAAAAAAGCTTAAATTAACTTAAAAATTAAAAAAAAAAAAGCCGATGCTTAAGCAATTAGAATAGATAACTTTTTGCCTTTAATTTTGATAGTAGATCAATTCAATTTTATAATAAAATTACCGACTCAATACTCATAGATCTCGATGACCAAAAATATATGATGCCGTACGTTAGTTAGACGAAAACAACACGTGCATGGTTAGCGTCTACGATAATCAATTGATCTTATATCGAATATGTTAGCTGATATCTTTGTCTAAAAATCTCTTAAGTTAAYTGAACATTAAACGGATATGACATTAAAATATTTCGTATTCGATTATGATATTTTATCAATTTATAAGCCAAGTACTAACATATAGTACTATACCTAATGTACTTGCAGGGTCTGTAAAAATTTTGAAGACGAACTAAAAAATACTGAGGCCAAGATTCGTATACGAAAAAAAAATATCTCGGTRAGACGTGATTTTCTAAATCCACAATACCATGCGACGGTGGCGACACCCTGAACACGTATGAGGTAGGTAGGTATATCTGCACGTACCAATACATATAATATAAAATTATTAATTTAAAATAAAGTGATATCGCTACTCGATTGAAATTCCAACGGTACGCCATGTGCGTGTTTACACTGTTAAACACGAGCACCTTGTGTCGTCTGAGAACGCACACACACATCACATTCATATGTATATATATATATATATATATATATATATATTTAGCACCAGAGTGAAGGTTATGTACACTTTCACTCGCCAATCGCTGCGACATTGACCTTCCAATGTTCGAAAAAAAACTCTTGAGCCGTGATGTTTACGTCGGTTTTTATTTCAGCTCCCGATATAATTTTGTAACGTAAAAATACATTATA